ACATCTCGCGCCTCCCTCCCTATCTCTCTCTCTCTCTCTCTCTCTCTCTCTCTCTCTCTCTCTCTCTCTGTCTTTCTGTCTCTCTCTCTCTCTCTCTGTGCGTCTGTGTATAGTTCACCATCTACTGGTGAAAGAAGATGACTGCATTAACATGCATTGATAGTTATTCTTTCATCCTGAAATTCTAAGTGGTGTTTTCTGAAAGTTTTTTGAAAATTTCCCAGTTCTCACCTCTCATTTTCCTAAATTCTTAGAACACAGTCTACCAAGATACCTTCCTTTGTAAGTCTAATTTGTTATTTGTTATTCTGATCCACTGTGTTCTACCCGACCTGGACTGATTTAGTAAGGTACACCTTTTAAGCTGTTTTGTACTGCTTCAAGGTTTCTCTTAATGTTCCTCATTTTTTTGAGAAAGTTCAACCAGATTTCTCCAATAAGGTTCAGTCCTGATATATTGGACTTCAACTAAGGAATTATGGAAACTGAAGCTCAGATTCTGGAAGTACTAGATTAGAGGATGTGGATTTAAATACTGCTGAGATCTTGAGCCAATTACAATTTCTGACTATCTTCCTCTTACCACCCACTTGCGTGCATGTATATGGAATCAGAATGTTTTATGGTTTATAGGGCCTCTTTCAATCAGGTTTTACTTCCATGAAGCCTTTTAATGAGGTACATTCCTCCTGACCGGTTTGTGATGTTTTTTCAGAATACATATGCCAAATAATTATAACACCTTTATAATGTTAGCCGTGTGAGATACGACTGTTTAATCCAGTCCAGGGTTGTTTTCAGGTCTCATGTTGACATGAGGTCATCAAAAACGGATTTCTTGAATTGCAAACCAGAACACATTTACTTTCAATTATTCAAATAGAAAACGAGTAGGTTAGTGGAAAAAACATAATTATAAATTTTGAAATGATAAAACATTGCATAAAGTAAATAATTTACAAGACTTTGTATGAATTCTTTTAAAATTATTTTATCCTTAGGCAGTAATTTAAATTAATTTATTGTCTACATACATGCCTGTCTTAATCTCTCTGTGGTGTGGGTGGATTTCCTGAAGTAGCTTTGGAAAAATATGCATTATATAGAAAGAATTTGACTCTAGCTGCAAAATCGCAGAGCAGGTGTCAGAACCTCGGGCAAAGGTGTTTTGACTGCAAGCACAAAGAGGTTCTGGGTCGGAAAAAAAAGCTCTTCCTAATTTCAAGAGTTCTTTTTGAAGTGTGGGTTAAATTGTTTGTCTGGCATCTTTCCTGCTTAAATCACTTGTCCTCTCAAACGGTTGTTGCCTCATTTTTTCCTTTTCTTTAAACAATCCACACAACCAACCTGGAGATAACATCTGCCTAAGAGTTAAGATCCCCGGAACCCTGCAGAACCATTTCCTTTCTGATGGCTTTCTGATGGACACTTTTATTTTCCATAAAAACACCTGGCTTCAAAAATTCGCATGATGCTGAGGAGAAAATGGAAGGCGCAAACAGCAAAGTGCAGAGCTTCTGACTGAGATGCTGAAGTGCTTCTCTCAAGGATCATTGCACATCATGAAGAAATGGCCTGTAAAGCAATTTGGCAAAATGGTGTGTGAAAAGAGTGTGTTCAGCCTAGCTTAATAGTTAGGCTTCGTATGGAGAAGCAGCCATTTGTATGCATTGCAAAACGTCCCACGTTTGATTGCCAACATCTTCGGATAAAAAAAAAGAAACCTGATAACAGGGAAAACCATATACCTCAAGCCAGGAGCTTGGAGAGATGCTACAAGTCAGTCTTTCTTGGATTAAATGAATAAATATTCTAATCCTAAATACAAGGTGGTTTATATACATCTTTAAAATCTCCTGTGGTACTCTGGTAAGGGAATACCTGATGAGCAAGACGTTAGCTGGATTCATACAGGATGTTAAACTATAATGTGATTTGACTTTAAACGGTGTGTGTTGTGCAAGCCCAGCCGATTGTGGTTCATCCAATAAACTACAGGTTTAAGCAAATCATATCTTATCACAATGTGTGAATTGGGCCATTATCACTGGAATAATGTTTTGTGTAAGATTAAGAGGTTTCCATTTAGGTCATAGTTAAGAGATATTTCTAAACAGATGGTTTAGAAGGCGTTTTTGGAAATGACTATAATCTGCTGTTAACGCTAGATCTGCTGTCTCTCTGGACACGCTTGGCTTGAAAGCAATAGCTGAGCAAATTGAAGGCAACTTGTGAAAGAGGCCAATGTGCTTATGCTGTTGAAGTCTGAGAAGATCCAAGCGTTCGCTTTTGGAGGTGGAGATGCTGCTTAGAAGAAGGCACTAACCCTCCCATGTGGGAGAAAGAGACTTTGTTTGCATCCAAGGAGCAGAGCAAAATGCTTCCAAAGTATGTTGCTGCTGAGCAGAAATTGGAAAGCTTTTTAAGGCCAGGCCAGCCCAAGCTTGATAATTCGGCAGTTTGTAGTTGCTGCTGGCTTCTGCAACATGACCCTGATATGGATTTATTATAACTACAAATTGGAATTAGGACCTGGAGGCTGCTTCAGATTGTAATTAGGTTTTGGTCACCACTGGCTGGGCTGTGTAGAAAGAAATGCGGATAACAAAGGATTTGGAGCCAAACTAACCGTATTTGGGATTCCCAAGATTCAATATAATGAGGCCTAGATTCCATTTACTCGTTTGCTTGTTGAAGCAATATGGTTTATATTCTGGCTATACTACTAATTGGAATAAGTCTATTCTGTTGCCACTAGAATCTATTGTATCTATGGACTATTGCAGGAGATTAGGATTTACAATTGTAAATACTTGAGTTTATATCTTTCCCAAAGTTTACTACAGTGCATTAAATTAAATAGTCTAAATGTATAGATGTAATTTCAGTGGATTTAATTTGATGGTCAAAATTCCTATTCTTGGGGATAAAATTAACGCTATATAATTAATAATTAAGATTAATATATATCTTAAGAGAGATACCAATGTTAATTCAGATAGGTGATCCGGAAAATTTTTATGACATGCTAAAATCCCTAGAATATCTTTGGCTAAATTGCAATTACCCTATGAGGATGCAGGCTTTAACCTGCCAAATTGTCAACAATATCATTGGGTTTTTATCTTAGCATCTGTATTTTTCTGGAATTAGGTTTATTATGATTATTTTCCTCTCTGGGTTCACTTGGAAGCAAACATGTAGCACTTTTGCAATCTTGGCAGGCATTAGGGTCTAGGTATATAAACAGAGATCTTTGTTCCCTGCTTTGAAAGCTGCTAGGCATATTTGGTTATCAATAGTTAAGTGGCTACAATTTGATCCCAAATCACATGAGAAGTTGATGTGGTGTAATTCAAATCTGAAAATAGGGGGAAGATGTTCTGTTGGAATGCTTTGGCTAAACATTAACCTTTAAACATGTTTTGCCTTTGCCTTGCAGGTATTCCCCAACCTGAAGTCCTGTGGTTCAAAAAGCAGAGCTCCCCAAGAAGTTCTGCTTTCCCAATAGCTAACAGTTCCTTCTTATTCCTGGGCAATGTTTCGGCCAAAGATGCTGGAATTTACACTTGCACAGCTGCCAATGCTGTTGGACATGCTACGGCAGCAACTGTTCTTCAATTGGCTGGCAAGTACAAATTTGGGGCAGTGGCATCAGTGGACAGCCTATAGGAAGGACCCCTCTGCTCTCTCTCTGTTTTGACTTCAATGCCGGTGACTGTGCCCATCATTTCCCCCTCTTTTCCCTGCTGACATATGCAGTGAAGCTCCAGGCAAACACCTGTCTGCTGAAAGCAGACTTTAACAGAATGAATATATGGGAAGGTAGATAGAGGAGATAAGGCCATTCCCCTGCCTGCATTTAGGGCTTCACCAGCATAGTGAGAACAGCAGACCAAAGAAGTCCTTCAAACCTGAGCAGCCTCCCCTTGGTTTTATGTCTGGGAAACCCTGGGCTGTAATTGTCCCCATTACTCTAGGACGAAGATTCCAGAAACTACACAATGGATCATCCAGCAATAGTCAAAGAAAACGTGTTCTCATGGCGTCTGGAATTGGCACCAATGTTACCGTGGCAGCTGGTGATATATTACGAATAGGTATGGTTCCAAATGTAAACTCTGCCCTGAAACAATGGGTGGCAGAGAGGGGTAATTCTTGTTCCATTCATATCATATCTACTGTACTTCAGGAGTGCCTGTATCTCTGGTTATATGATGTTCTAAAAATGTCAGCCAAGGAAGTCAACAGTGTAGAAATTTAGCATTAAATATCTCAAGAGCAGGGTGACTTATAGCCAAAGAGCTGCACAGCAAGGAGACGGAAAAATGGGGGAAAAGAGGAGAGCAGCATAAAAAGGGGACAGCCCAAAGAAAGACAAAAGGGGAGTTCTTCTTAATTCTGGTTGGCTTTGGTTCCCAGTCCACTGCTGGTGAAACAGTCTTTGCCCTGAAAAGAATATGAATACCTCTGCTCATGTGTTGAAATTATTGGCACCATAAGAAATCCTGTTATTTCATATCTTTTAATTATTAATTTTCACCTTGTATCATTGGCTTTATTCACGGCTTTGGGATTTTTACCCATGAGAAGCAGCATATAAGTTATTTGAGAGAGAGAGAGAGAGAGAGGGAAAGACAGCTTCCATGTTGTTGCTCAAGGCAGAGGCAAGCAAACTTTTTCTGAGCTGTGATTTCTTAGAAATAATCAGTTGGGAATGGCATGGTGGGCAAGTAAAGGAAGAGTCAAAAGTGTGTGGAGACATCCATCCTTTCTCTGCTGCATCCTTATTTCTCTTTCTGACACTGTTTTCTCTCCCCACCCCTCCTCAGCTCTAGGGAAGGGAAGTCTGATGGTTTGTGAGGGAAATGGAATGAAATAATGCTGGGGGTGTCATGAGGTTATAGAGGTTCCCACTATTCTTGTATTCCTAGCTCTGAAAAGAATCCATGTGGGACTATGAAATGTTGTCGCTAGTTTGGAGACTCCCTCATCTTTTTTGGGAAGGTGTAGCTAAGAATAACTGAACTGTGTAAAATCTGTAGGCAAGTTTTAGAAGTTCTGAAAAAAAGGCTAAAAGTGCTGTTGGTTTTCTAGGTTGTCCTGTATATCCTAGAGCAAATAACACAGTTCGCTGGTTTGTCGGAAATCAAACAATAGAAGAAATTAAAGGCTTCAGGCACAAGACCCTGGTTGGGGGACGCATCCTTGAATTCATCATTGCCTCTGACCAGTTTGCTGGACAATACAAGTGCTGTGCTTCATCAAGCGTCAAGCCATTGTCTGTCTGGGTAAATGTCAAGAAGGAAGGTTTGTTGAAAGATCCATGATAACATTTTTACATTTACTTTTTTCTTTAAATGTTTTGATACTTCCCACTATTATAATTCAAGGTAGCATCTTCCTTGCCAGCATCCCTGGGAATAATGGGAGGCCCAGCATACCTGGCTGAGGAAGTTTGATTTAAAGCAAAACAGAAGAGGTGGGATGGCCATTAAACATAGTTTCCCTGCAACTCATTCTCTTTGGGTCTCTGACAGTATCTAGGATGACCTGTCATTGGCTGGGTTCAGACATAACACCGAGGGGGTTTATTTGTTTTTGCTTTACAGTATGAGTGAACCTAATCATTTAGGCTTATAAACTATGGTTTAGAGCTTAGTTTTATATATAAAAATGCCCATTGTGATTTTATGAGCAAAAATAGTTAATTTGTAATGTAGAGTAATGTGTGCACCCTGTTTCTATCAGTTTTCTATCATCTCTCCTTAATGCCATTGCCTGTCATTGTGGGCCTTCTCCAAGAAAGATGCTTTAGCCTCCATATACTGTGATTCCGTGGAGGGCATAAGGAGATTGCCCATTGATAGCCTCACCTGGAAGCAGTTATGTGAGCTGCTCAATGTGCACAGGGAAAGGCTCTTGGATGCTGCCCCCAAATACCAGGTTTGAGACCTCTCTCTACCTTCCATCCCACCTGTGACTCTCAGCAAGGGCAGGACTATGTGGAAGGTGTTGCAGCAGGGAGCAGGCCGGTGACTAACTTTTCTCTTACAAGGAGATACGTGTATTGTCCTGTTTCTGAAAATGACCTCCTTTCTTGAGCATATAACAAGCCTGAGAAAGTGTGAGGGTTGTATGTCTATCAGAAGTTCATTATTTAAGCCCAAGAAGCACTTCAAATATCGCTAAGGGGTGGGGGCGAGATTCTTGCATGTTGAGTGCTCAGAGAGACCACCGTGGGCCATGTCTTTATGGCCTTGTAAATCATACAGTCGTTCGGTCACACTGCCCTTCGGTAAATGTTAAGCATTTGTGCTTTGAAAAGAGTGCTTTTGTTTTATTTTTAAGAAAGCCAGGAGTAATAAAGCAACATTGAAAACTCAGTGAGTTAAAGAATTCATTATGTGCTGTGGGAAATAAGACTGTGGATACAGCTGGGAGTGATCAATTATTTGTGGATATTACAAGGCCAGCCTTGCCCACCCGCCCCCATAAAAAAAAAAAATCCCCACTGTCAACATTGTATAGTACTTCATCTTTTAAATGATGCCTGAAAGGGTGGGATCGTTGAATTGTAATTCAATTTAAAAAAGGAAGAATCTATAATTTACCAAGTAAAATTAGAGAGTAATGTAATTGTGCATTCATTTATTTTTTTTTTGCTTTGTTTTAGCAGAAATTATTTAGATTGCCCAGGCTTTGCTGCAAGGCCCCCTTGCCCCCAAGAAGGCTCCTCTGCCCCCGTCTTAAAGCTGCAGTTGGTAGTTAGTGCTGTGGAGAGGAATTACGTTATCAAGACACAAGCCCCTCCTTCAAAGCTTTTCTCCTGATTTGGATCTTGCCTTCTCCATGGCCAGGGGTCAGCTAATAACAATAACAGCAAGGTCTTTTTATCATTTTGACATCAGTTGATTTTAAGTGTCAGCCCTTACATATTCTATAATTGCAGGACTGCCTCTCCCTGAGAGTCTCTGCCTGTCCTACTAGATTAGTTAGGGTGGGCACTCTCCAGGTCCCCTCTCTTAAATGTTGTCCCCTGATAGGATCTTGGAGGCACGTCTTCCCATTGGCCGCCCCAGCCCTCTGGAATAGCCTCCCACCTGAGATCCAAGGGCTCTCTACCTTTTAGCCCTCCAGAGGGCCATGAAGACCTGGCTCTTCCCCCAAGTGTGGACTAGGATGGTGGTTGAGCTGGGAAGTTCTTGGTCTTGCACCTGGGGGGAAGGGTAGTTTTGTTTTGATCTTGTTTTTATTGCTTGTTGTGTGCTGCCTAGAACCATTGTGTGATATGAGTAGCCATATAAGTTCTGTAAATCAACAACCAATCCTTTTTGTGTTATTGATGAGCTCCATGTTACTGTATTTATGTTTCCCTTGTTGTCACTTTAATGTTCTCATAACTTTGCAATCCACCAAGTGAATTTCGCATATTGGACAAATTAGAAGTATAATAAAATAAGTAGAAATTAGGCAAGAGATCCTAACTATATGTTTAGTTTGCTTTTCAGTATATGATCATATTCTTCATAGAATATGTAGAATCCTAGAGTTCATAGAGGCCACAGTCCGCTGAGGAAACCTGTTTTTCAGATATAGCTTAGGAACTAAAGGAGAGATCCTGTTTATTACTAGAGATGACTGATGAAATAGCCAAACCCAGTGACTGGATTTGCACATCATACAATGCTGTAACAGGGCTTGTTTATACGTGGCTTAGCATGATATACAGATTCAGCTCTTGTGGGTGGTAACCATGGCCTGTGTCATAATATGTATGAACTGGTATCATGGGTTGAAACAAATAATAGCTTGGTGTGATGAGTGCACCTCGTCATAATTAGGCAGTTCCTTTTATCCTGAACTTGTAAACAGATTTGGGATGCATTCTCTTTGACAGAATATCGATGGAAGCTTGGTGAATGGAGTCCGTGCTCAACTACTTGTGGGAATTTGGGAACCCAGTTCCGAAAATGTCTGTGTGTGAACATGAAGGATCAAAATGTGAATGCATCGTTGTGCAAGGATAGTCAAAAGCCAGTAGTAAATGACCAGTCCTGCAATATTCAAGATTGTCCTGCAAGGTATATGCATTCTGTTGCTTAGTTCAGACAAGTACGTGGGCTTACCTATCTGTACATATGTATGTGTTTTGCAACAAAGGTAGGCGGATTTCAGGTTTCTCTTACTAGGATGCTGAAATCCTCCAACTACAGTCTGATACAAACATTGAAAGTGAACAGTCAAAGAACAAGAGCCATGTGTGAGCCTGGGAACAAAGAGGGCACACAGAATATACGCTTAAATCTCTATTTATGCCTCACTGCCCCTTCTTGTCAACAGTTTAGTTTTTCAGTGCAAGTGCTGAAGACTCGGTACCACTGAAGTCACACTTCCATTACAGAAGGAATGCATTGAATCTTCATTAATTCTTACTATATGTAGGCTGTAGAAGGGAAAGTGGGTACAAATGCAATAGCTGTGCCTATTCCATCACCATTCTTGCCAATCCATAAAGGGCAGCTATGGAGAAACACTTGTGGGTTATCTTTTGTGAGATAAGGCTTTTTGGCTTGATCTAGTGGGGCTCTGTTTATATTAATGCCCCTACAAGGAAAATATAAGAATAATAACTCTCTCCTGCTCTTGTTCCCCAGCAGCTGACAGAGGTGTAGCCCCTGACCCTAAAAATCATAGTTGATCTTGTCCATCTCAACTAATGATCAAGGAAAATGGAGCCATTGCCCACAGTGGACCCATCCCTATAGCCACAATTACTAACTTGCAGGTTTTGGAAAAATAATTCTTTTTGATATGACACAATTCCTTTACTTTTATGGGTAACATTTTTTTTTCTTTTTCTTTTTTTCATTTTCTCCTTCCAGATGGGCAACAACAGCCTGGTCTGAATGCTCTGTTTCATGTGGCCATGGATTTCACCGGCGGCGAATAGTCTGCAAGCAAGTCAAAGCCAACCGCCGTGTCTTAACGTTGCCTCCAGACGCTTGTGCAGACCAAGAGCGTCCTTTGGAAATGAAACCTTGTGTGGGCCATTTTTGTGCAGAATGGATTGTTCATCCATGGGGCCGGGTAATTAGTTCAACGATTAATGAATCTGTAACCTCTGCCAGTGGATGTGCACAAGCCTCAGTTGGCTGCATCAGAATTGCCTAATAGCTGTGTACATTTCTCTAATTTCTATCTCACTCTTCTGCCAAGAGGTTCAGGGTTGTATATGACCATCACAACAAACTGATGTAGGTTGGTGAGCATCTTTATAATTTTTGTAGTGTCTCTGTTGTTAGGAATGGTATCTGACACCTGGACAGCAACTCCCAGTTAGAATAGGCTATCTTGAGTCTGCTGGTCCAGTGTTTTATCTAAAGTCATTCCCAGTATTCCTGTGGACTAAAATTGCTGTTCGTACATCTGGTGAAAGTATCTGAGATTACAGTTCATTTATTTTGCATCTTAACACTCAGTGGAGTCCCTTAATATAGAATCTTGCTCAAAATCTATCTGCTCTATGAGGGATGGAACTGATCATCAGGGCCACAAAATAGGTCAGAACTAAAGAACAAGCAAAATCAAGTCTGAGGACTGATTAAAAGATAGAGAAACACACTAAAGCTCAGAAAATCCATGTTAGGCTAAGGATCAACTAGAACAGAAAACACTTTTATTTACTATTCTGTTCAAGAAGTCCAGTGGCCAGCCTAGGTGAATGGACTGAATTCAAACCCTAATGACTATTGGCTCTCTGGCTGAGTACCTCTACACTGTCAAAACCCCTAGAGGTGTAAGTAGGTAAACTAAGGTTTCTATCTAGAAATAAATCATATGGGAGAAATTAGATTAATATGATCATTTTTTGGCATGTATTCACATGGAAAAGGAACCCTGCCATCACTCTGAGTTCAAACAATCTGCATTTTGTATGGGAAAGTGCAGGGCTTCATCTTTGTAATGGAAGCTGTTTATTATCTATCTTCTCAGTGTGCTGGACGCTGCATAAACCTTGGAGTGGGCTTACAACACCGTCTCATTCAGTGTCAGTATCAGAATGGATCAGTAGTACCGAACTCACTCTGTGATAGCAAGAAAAGGTACATCTGCCAAGCATGAGAAATATAACGCTTCTTTTCTTTTCAGTAGATGTCATGACATTGTTTTACTAGATACTACAGTACTGGGAAGATATGGGTCAGTGAACACCACATATCTCTCCTCCCCAGCAGTTTCATTAGCCCATTAAATGTGATACTTTATCACACTTTCCATTCCAAAATCAGTGGAATAGAACTTACTGACAACTTCAGAGGGATTTTATCTCCCTTTCTTTCTCTTTGCAGAGGGATATTGCAAGTGAAAACCTAAAGATTTTGTGAAGTTTCACACTGGAAGCAGCAATCCAAGCATAAAAACTTGTTCTTCTATTTAGTCAGAATCCTTCTGATATGTGTCCTATCTTTCCTGGGCATTTGACTACAATTCCAGACCCAAAAAGTGTGGCTAGAGATGGAGGAATCTCTCCATCTCAGTTTCCCTTGGTTTCTCATTTTTACAAGTTTGGTGCGCCCCATTTCCACATCAGTTTGAGATTTGACAAAAAAATAACTTGAGTTGACATGGAACTGAGATAAAGAAGGATTATCAGAAAGGGAGCTCTGCAGAAACTTCCCAGATCAGGTGTATCTGCTTTCAGGGAGAGGTGGTGCATGTGGCAACATTGTTTAAGAGGCAAGGTATGCTGGTTTAGCATAATCTGAATACTACAGATGTGTGGTAGGGAAATAGAGCTGAAGAAAATAGAAACAAGACCCCCAAAAATCCTATCGCATGCTTAAGAATAGTAGGGCCTAAGTAGACCATTATCAGGAAAGAAAGCTGTAGAGAACTGGGAGTGATGCGAGAAGTTGCCTTTCGATGGTAAGTCTAGATCAATGTTTCTCAGCCTTGACAACTTCAAGATGTGTGGACTAGAAAGCTGTAGAGAACTGGGAGTGATGCGAGAAGTTGCCTTTCGATGGTAAGTCTAGATCAATGTTTCTCAGCCTTGACAACTTCAAGATGTGTGGACTTCAACTCCCAGAATTCCCCAGCCACCATGGCTGGCTAGGGAATTCTGGGAGTTGAAGTCCACACATCTTGAAGTTGCCAAGGTTGAGAAACACTGGTCTAAGATCCTAAAAGGGAGATACTAAGTCCACACATCTTGAAGTTGCCAAGGTTGAGAAACACTGGTCTAAGATCCTAAAAGGGAGATACTCCAGTTATGTCTTTTATTGATAGTGCAGTACTGGGAGTGGACAAGCCTTATGTTGCAACAAGGATCAGGAAGGGAGGAATATCATCTCTTGGATTAAGTCTCAAACTACTGCTTTTTTTCTTTTCCTCTTCTGCAGGCCACCCATTAGAAGAAACTGTTCTTCAGATAGTTGTGATGTGTATTGGCGAACAGGTCCCTGGCGTCCTTGCCCTGTAGACTGCGGAAGTGGCTTCCAGTCACGACAGGTCAGCTGTGTACATAGGAAAAAGAAGAGATTGGTAGCAGATCAGTTCTGTGCCTGGCAGAAGAGACCGATGACCTGGAAACACTGCAGTGTCACTTCTTGTGACAGTATGTAAAATATTTTACTTCCATTTCTCACCTTGCCAGTTGCTTGTGGCAAATTGCATTTAGAACCTGGTGTGGCTGAACGTTAGCTGTAGAAAGAATCTGAAAAACCCATGTTCTCGTAAACGGTTGCTGAGTGACTTTGCCCCAGTTCAGTAAGCAGTAAAGAGAAGAATGAAAAAAGCCAAAGAATGCCCAAGTTAGCCCCAGACTGTGCTATGGACTGGATCAATATCCATTAATGCTTCTTGTTTATGAATGAGTCTCCAGGGAGTCTGCACCTTACTCCACATTAGTTTTGAAAAAGGCACACAAGGCAAAAAGAGAGGATATTGATGTTTTATCTAGGTCTTACATCTGTGTTTGCCAGACATGAGATATTGGCCTTAGGACTTCAGCATCCAAGAGTCATTTATTGTGATGACATAAACTTTCCTTTTTCATTTTTGTCACGTTTCAATATATTTTTCAGAGGGCGACTGCAAGGACACCACTCACTACTGCACATTTGTAAAGCATCTAAAATTATGCTTAGTAGACCTCTACAACCAAAGGTGTTGTCAGTCATGTGGAGAAGGTTAGTCTTTTATGAATCACAAGAAGAGAATTTTCATTCAATTCAGTCTGTTCTACAGTCCAGTGAAGACTATCAACAAGGAAGACATGGGGTTGCTGAACTGATAATACAAATGCATAGTTTGGAAAGAAACATTTTCTCTTCCTGGTTCCTCCTGCTCTCCCTAATACCTTTTACAATAACATAAACCTCAAAGGTTGTTTTAAAAAATCATTATAGTCCACTGATTATACTACTTGAAAGCACCTTTCCTAACCTGGTGCCCTCCAGATGTGATGAAATGCAACGTTGACTTTCTGACCAGCATGATGAAGAAAGCCATCTGCAGCCTTGGAAAACTTCTTTAATGAGACAATGGGAATTCATTGGATTTAAGTAATGCTACTGACAGTACAAAGACAGCTGAAGATTAGTGAAGACAATTTTTAAAAATATACTGGACTGAGCAGTCATTCTGCTTGCTTGTCACCTTCTTGATTTAATCCACTTTAAGACAAATTTCAAAAAGTATAGAAATAGCAGTGTTTCTTTTTTCCCCTACCATTGTCTCTACTTCACGTTTGGCAAAACCACATTGTCAGAGATTTCATTTCATTAGCTTCAGATGAATCACAAGTTCATTCCTTTAAGTATTTTCAGTAAAAAGCAACGTGCACGATGTTACAATTTTCAGACTTGCCATGGAATTGTTTTTGATCAATGCAACTTAATTTTGGGGAGATAGGTCATATCTTTTGTTTCAGTCTCTCTGGAGTCTGATCAAGGTAGGATAATGCTTAGCCTAGTATGAAATTGGATTTGAGGTTTCTACACTGGAGCTCAGAATTTAAATGTTTCAATTTGAATTTGAAGTTTGAGAATTTTTTTCTTCTGCTTTGTCAGAAGCAAACTGAGAACAGATGCCCAGCCAAAAGTACGTATCAGTCTGCACTGTTCTTGAAAAAATCCTCTATTATTTTACAATCATTTGAAGGAGAAGGGGAAAAAACCCAGATCTGTTATACTTTGAGACAGAGATATGTTAAGTATCAGTTGAATTGATTTTGATCGTTATGCACTTGGAAATATGCCATGCAAGTCAGTTCCTGGAATTACTTCAGGTAGCTTTTTTCTCTTATATAATTTTTGTGCAAGAACTAATAAAAGTCTTAGTTTTAACTATCAAATAATATAAATTATATGAAATATAAATGAATGGGGCTGAATACAATTCTGGCCACTATACATAAAGTGTTGAAAAAGGTAGAGAAATGAGCAACTGAAGTGGTTTGAATTGTTTCCTGTGAGACTCTTGAAGTTCACAATTGATGTTGATGAAAATATACATTATAAAAGTTTCTTTTTAGTTCAGTTGTCATAAGGGAAACCAGTAAAGTTGATTGACAATAGGTTTAAAGTAGACCAAAGTGTATGCTATGCATGCTTAAGTTATGTAAATTTGTGCCTCAACATAAAGTGAAAGCCACTGACTTGAGTAACTCAGAACGTCTTGGATGGCTAGGGAAGATATCTTTTTGATTCGGAAATGATATAAAAATGGATTAAACCATAAATAGGTAGGAAACTGCCTTCTAGCAAGTCAAGCCATTGTTCTGTCTAACTCCTCACTGGCAGCAGCATTCCAGTGTTTTAAATAGGAGTTTTCCTAGCCTTACCTGGAGATGGTGGGGTCAAACCTGGAATCTTCAGCTTACAAAGCATGTGATCCATCAGGCTCTTAAGATTATTAGAGTCCATTGTCTATCAGTGGCTGTTAGGTCTGAAAGCAGTGTGGAAACTCCATTTTCAGACAATCTGCCTCCAAATGTCAGATATCACAGGAAAGCAAAACAGGTGTGCTTGATCTTCATGCCCTGCTTGTATGTTTTCCAGGGTTATTTAACTGACTACTATTTAGAAACTATGCAAGACTACCTGAAACTTTGGCCTTTTCCATTGAGTCAAGGATATTCTATACTGTTCTTATCTTGTTGTTTTCCATTTGTAACTAACTCCTGAGTTCTTGCATACACTTCAAAAGTCATGTTTTCTTGAACTAAACCCTCTGACAAAGGGCAGAAAAGTAACACCTGAGTTTTTGTTTCTGTCCCAAATGTATTTCAAAAGATAACCAAATCATGGTTTAGTCTTACTGACAGTTAAACTAGTGCTACTGTATAAAAGGTGTTTAATGAGGAAACTGTATCCTTGGCTGAAGACAGAAAACAATCAAATTGAAGTTAAGCAACTTGGTCAATTGCGGTAGAATCAAGGAATATATTTTTTTTCCTAGCCAAGTGAATTACATGTTTGAATGTTCCCTATGGTGGTAAAAAGATGATGTCCGGAAAAACTTAGGCTGAGCCCTACTTCTCAGTATTCTAGGTTAAGGAATACTTATTGAGAAATAAAGATCTATTTGCAAAATTAAATGTTGCAGTAGGAAAAACTTTAGCATTTGATTTTGCATGAATATAACTGCTTCTTTACAGATTCATTAGTGCTAACAGGAAAGCAGAATCAGAGTCTTTAACTGTTTTCCATTGAATTCAGTGGACTTTAAATTTAGTAATTTTGCTGTATCATTGCCCTAAATTTTAAAGCAATCTTGGTCTTGTTTGATTATACCCTTTCTTAAGTTAAGATAACCTGTAATATACTTTTGTATATATTTATTATCTGATTTTAAAGTGCAATATTTTTGTATAGTGTGTAATAAAGATTTTGGATCCTATTTTTTCTTATTACTAAAACCTACTACTGTGTGTGTGTGTGTGTGCGTATGTGTGTGTAGTATTTGAAAATAATTAACTGCTAGTATTTAATGCACTAATCCGTTTGGACGTGTAAATATTCATGCGGTGCTATAGGCATTAATGTGGATGCGTGTACGCTGCAGTCCAATATAACATTTCAGAAGAGTTTATTCCATAGCATTCAGGAACTTATCTGTATCTATCTGAGGACAAAAAACATAAATATACTACCATTTCAGAGGAAATGGGCTTCTGCACCCTTAGTCTAGCTACAATCTTAAAAAGTATTTTAAGAAATGGAAAATGTAATGTGACATAAAAGTGTTTAATTAGATTTTTAGAGCAATACATTTACATAGGATAAGAATAAAATAAATGGATGCTAATCTTAGTCTATATCTGTGTGAGTGACACAAAGCAAACATTCCCAGACATTCAGATGGTTTCCTGTCCTTTTTGGGATGATTAATTTTTGCTCTTTTGACGCCATTCATTTATCAATCTCAGTCTCTGACTTTGATAACTTGGGGATAGAGCAGAAGGATTACATGGTGCTTCAATTATAAAATGATTTTCTTAATGAGTACAAAATAACACAGATAAATTCAATCTATCATATTGAAATAGAAACACTCACTGGAACAAATTGCATCAATTTAGGACTGATCAAACTGAGGACTTCATTAATAAAAACATGAAGGCTGAAATAATCTGAAATGCAGATTTATCATTCTACAGTGTTATCTTGCCTTTTTTTTTCCAATAAGAAATTGAGTCAAATTTGGAAAAAGCTCCCCAATCTATCTAGCTAAGGCTTCTGATCCTATAAATCTTTATCCGGGAATTCAGCAGGAGATGCTTCTAAAAGAATAAGTTTTGAAAGACCAACTTAAATTGGTCTGAAGGGCAGATAGCCATTGAGGCGCCCTGTTCAGAGAGGGAGAATACCTGAAAGATCAGCAGAATGAATATGCTGCAGGAAGCTCACAATATCACATTATTCTGGGATTTTTTTTTTTTCCTAGGAGAACAGTAATTTTGCTAATAAATCTTTATTATTGTGGATAGCTATGAGGTTAGGGTCTGTTACCTGACCTCTTTGAAACCTGAAATGTATACACAAGAACTGGTACACAGAATTTGATTAAAATATCATAATTAAGGATAATTCCTAATCATCAGAACTGCTGGGTGGACTTCTACCAATAAGAATAGGAGTCTGCCTTCTGGCCCAATCAAAAAAGTTGCATTGAGAGGAGAGGGTGGCAGGATGTTGAGATTTGCCTCATATCTCAGGCAAGTAGAGATGTGCTGATATGCATATCAGTGGCAAGTTAAATGTCATTTATAATCTAATAAGGCTGATAAAATAAAAAGCTAGTCCTGAGGTCACTCAAAATGCTGCTATAATACTTTCATTCTATTCAAGGTATTATGGGCTATTTCTAGCAGTAAACATAATCATCTGTAGGCTCCTATTGATCTCCCTAGCCACTAATCTCTATGACCCACGCTCAACTCTAGCCCACTTTTGCAACATAACATTCTTGAAGATGAGATGCCAGAATTAACCTGGAAAACTATATCTGTAAGTTATGATCCCTTTGTGGATCTAGCTTCAGAAAATAGATTGGAAAAAAATTGGTAGCTACAAACAAAGCAGGTTTACATTTAAATCATACCATACAGTCTACAGTAGAAGTATTTACAGTATATAAAATTGTCAAGTTATTGCCAGTTTGGTTAAGGATTAAGTTATTTTAACAAACAACTGAAGAAAAAAAGATTCCATAGAAATACTGATTTATCTTTTAGTAATGGAAGTTTCCATCACCATTATTATAAACATTTCAATTTTCATATCCCCAAAAATCTTATAATCATTGTGCTTATTTTAACATTTAGAGCAACTGTAATAGTCTGCCCAGGGCATGATATTGTTCAGCAATGGGCAGAGTAAATAATTAAAAATTACGATGCAACTGCTATTTCTTTTGGAACATGATTACCATTTGGACGGACAATCTTACTGGCGTCTGGTGTAACCCTGCGGAAGAATTTGTGACCACGAGAATCGGTGCTGACAAAGACATATCCTGGAGGAGATGGATAATTTGCTGGACAGATCTCTTGCTTCTTTGGAGCATAGTCCGTACGGTACATGGTTTCATCCTCGAAACGTGCTGAACTAGACAAAGGTACCTTTGGAGGTCTGCAGCTCTGAGTCGGGATTAGACTGTGTGGTGTATAGTGAGCTCGGAAGGTGGTGATATCATCAAATTTAGCAGAGGACTTTGGTATTGCTTGGGGTTTTTTAATCATTTCAGGTCGATGCATATCCCAAGCTTGAAAGGCATCTCTCATAGTTGTGTTTCCTTGGAAGGGAGGATTATTTCTTTTGGTCTTTTCTAGTGGTTTCACAAGGACAATTGGAATGATGTCATGAGGAGTATAATCAAGATGGGATGTGGAATTAAGATCCATGCTACCTGTGGGTGGAACATACTCCTTTGCTTTATGTAGTTCAGGTAAGGAAACTGCCCATGGCTGAAAGCGATCACGGAATTCTGTGATTCCATCAAAATGGGACTTTGTTTCTGTTTTAGCAGGTTCAGGCTTGAAGCTTTTTGGAAGATCACCAGCAAGCCCTCTAAAATCACACCGGTGGGTTGTGATATCCTCAAAAGGCTGACTATTTGGCCTATATTGTTCTTTTGACTTTTTCCATTTGGGTTCTAGCTGATGAGGAACATAATCACTGCGATGACTTGTATCACTGATAAAAGGTTGGTCTGAAAGTGTGGTTGCATCAGCAGGTTTAAAGGTTTTCCGGAGGGCAAGTTCCCTTGGAATAAAGGCATCCTGAAATGTAGTAGCATTTCCAAACTTTTCAGTGGGAGGATGGTAGATGTTCTCCACTTTATAGGGCTCCCTTCTCTGTATTTCCCAGGCTTTAAAATCAGCTTTAAGATCAAACACAAGAATTATTATACTTTTGACAGAGGTTGCTATTTTTCCCTTATTTCTCACCTAAATGTAGGCCAGTGATGAGCTTATATAAGGTGAATGGCCAATGTGCCAAAATAGATGATTCTGCAAAGACTTATACATATTTGATTGCTTCCACCTATTTTGACCATTATAACATCTAAATAAGGTAATATCTACACTATGTCATTTGCCCTTAAATGACTTTGCTTAATAAATCCTGAGAATTATGATATTGTGCAAAAGCTGAGTGAGGATTGTCTGGAACATCTAGCTTCCCTAAAATACACTCAGCTAAGTCCTAGCATTTATTAAGAGGACTTGTTTATCAGATCAGTTTTAAATAATTTTACACCCTCACAGGGCAGTAAAACTTGTTGGGTATTATATTTGGGAAGCATGTTTGAGAGAACATGCTTCAGTTTATCAGCAATATAGTTTTCTAGTGGTTTCCTGAGGACAACTAAACTAGGTTTTGGTCGCAGAAGACATTAAATTATAGTGTGTGCTTAAATAAGAGAGTCTGCTGCTGATTAGACAACTTCCAATTACAGGGAAATTGTCAGGATAGCATTGCAACAACCAAGTCAGTATTTGCCTCTCCAGCATAGCAATCTGACACCTCACCATCCTGGCAATTGTTTCAATTTGTAAAAGTAATTGGCATTATTACCTTGGTAAGTTGGAATGGCATTCAGTTTACTTTTAGACACATATTTCTTTTCTGCAGGTCTTACTAATATTATTGGTTCTATTTTGTGAGGATTGTAATCTCTTCTGTAAGTGGTTGCCATTTCAATTTCTCCAGCAATGGGTTTGTATTCCTCTTGCACCCGAATGGGCCGATGTGTTACATCATACGGAAGGTAATCAGATCTGGTGGGAGGACAGAAAAAAAACTCTGAGAAAGAAACCATAACTGCAGCATTTAGTCAATCAATCAGCCTGATTAGTTAACATCTTTGGATTGATTAAAATTGTGGCTCCAATTAAAATTGTGGCAGACTAGGGAGAGAAAGCCAGTTAATTATTTCCAATGCAAATACCTACAGAACATAAGGTTGGTAAGCCTGATTCTAAAAGGAGCGTTCTTCTCTCCCTCCCTCCCTCCCTCTCTGACTTCAAGTCAGTCTTGACTCCTGGTGACAGCCCGGACAAGTCCCTGCAGTTTTCTCAACAAGATTTCAGACGTGGTTTGCCAGAAGGGGTTTGCCTACTTCCTATGGAGCTTCCTTGGGAGAGGGGGACTGGCCCAAGGGCACCCAGCTGGCTTCATGCCTAAAGCAGGACTAGAACTCATGGTCTCTCAGTTTTTAGCCTGATGCCTTCACCACTACAGCAAACTAGCTTTCTCTTCTCTCTTATACAAGGCAAAATGTTCTTAAGAAATGCATTAACATTAGAGCACCACTGTCCTTCTCATTCTCTTTCCCGTAGAATTATTCCTTTGTTCACAGGCAGTGTTTGCAAATCTGTCCATAAAATGCTGTGGTGATCTCTTTATTCAGACAAGAGGTCTGTCAAATGTTGGCCGTGTAATGATTTGGATTAAAACCATATGACAGGCTTACCTCAAAACAAATCCCAATAAGCTATCCTTCTATCTCTTCCGCCATCTCCCTCCTCACCCTGATTTCCTAGGAATTCCAGTTTCTAATATTGTACAATATTTACTTGAAAGTGGTGAGGCCTTCCATTTTCCCTCCATGGCTCCGATATTCCTGCTTGGGCCTGAGGCTCTGGGGAGGAGGGACATGGCCGTATAAAGGATATTTTTCTGTGTATTCTGTCATGAGGCTTGACTCTCTTCCATGGTCATAAATCCTTGTAGGATTATGAGGACAACGATGACGTCTGGGATGGGAGAACAGCCAGAAAATAAGAAGATAAATGACCATAACCAAAGATAATGCAAGCACTAACCAAGATCTAGAGACAGTGATTACTTCTTGAAATACTGAAGGTAGCTCTGTTAACATTGTGCAAAGAAACTACATTTACCAATCGGATTAAATTACGTTTATCTTAATTTGCTTCTTTTACAGACAGTGCTTGGGATGACACAGTTCAATGCAGTCTTGCAGCCTATTACCAATCTATAAATGAATGAATTAAAAAAGCTTAACCAAAGCATTTCTCATTACTCAGATAAAAGCTAATCCAAAGAAAACTACAACGTCCATCAGGACTTAAGTTCTCTGACAGTTTATCATCAGAATAAATTGCTCAGGTCCCTAATTCTGACAAGGAAAAAAATTCCTAGGAGGTTTCACTGGAATTTACTGATACTGAAACATATTTTATGGAAATTCAATACAACTTCTAAAAAGAGAAACTACATAAATAAGATTGACCTGTCAGCAGCAAGTATTTAGCCTTCTGTGTTTTGTGAGATAAATGTTAAAGACGGCATTCTCTTTAAGATGTTTCTTACCTAGGGCCTGAATTCAACTCGGTTAGGGGTGGGATCAGGGTTACAGGAAAATGAAGGGGAACCTGAACTATCTCCTGGCCTCACAGAGAAAGCGTAGGGGGTAAAAAGTGATATAGATTTTCATTGGACATATTGTTCTTTAAGGGGTTTAGGACAGTGAGTTAGTATCTTGTTTTCCACGTATTTTATCCTCGAAGTAATACTATGGAAGGAGGACAGGTTGATAAAGAATGAGCTTGAAGGCTGAGCTGGGATTTGAATGTGAATGTCTTAGGTCTATGCCCAACATAATCACTGGCTTTTCAACAGAAGGCTCTTTGTAGGGCTGTCATCAAGATTGGGGTTCAAGCAGCAGACTGTGCCAGGTTTGAGGGGTGAGATAAAGTGACCTCTGCTCCTCTCTTTATTTAATTTATCTTTGCCTCGTGGGTCAGGAGTTCAGTAACTCTGATACAGCTATCTGATTATGCAGACCATGGCTGAAGATTCATGGCACCATTAAGCCAGTCTTTTGGACCCCACTGCATTTTGTTCTCATGATTTTGACAGCTTATCTACAGTCACTTTTAGCTACAGTTACATTCATGGAAACAACTTAAAACATTCACTAAATACCCTGTCATCAAAATGATCTCACCTCCTTGTATGGTTGCTTATTCCTCTGTAGTTGTCAAGGAACGACTTACTGTTTGAGATGCGATGAATTGTGACATCAGTAGGAACTCAACCAGTCACCATTCTCCCTGTTCCTCTCTTTCTCTTGCCTTCCTCTTCCTCTCTCTTTCACTTTTATACATTCAGTCAATTTTTTTTCTGAAAGTAGTTTTTAGAAATCTAAATCTCATCTTAGATCTCTATTATTTTCAACTGTCTAATGCTTTAGAATAATTTGAAAACAGTACGTAGTTTAATTAAACTTTTATCTTTTTCCATGGCACCAGTATAAGTTACAATTATTTTTGAGTAAAGCACCTGTGATTTCAGTTTTAATAGTACTTAGATTTCAAAAATGAATTGCTCTATTTAGTTTTACTGCAGGTTTGAAACCCTTCATGTAGTTGCTTAAGATAATAGCAACTCTCTTAAGGTGAAAAGTTGTGTGCATATAAAATGGAAACATGGCTTTGTTACAAGGAAATCCCTCTACTGTATTTTCTTCTCTCAACAATAAACCTATGAGTTAGGATGGGCTCAGAGATAATGACTGACGCAGAGTCACTTACTGACCTCCCTGGTTGAGTGAGGGCTTTAAATTCTTTCCACTTCCTCCCTTACTTTAGCCACTACATCGCGCAGGCTCCAGTGATTCTGCTGACACTTCTCTGCCCATGTTCCCTTGATAGAGACCTATATGGGGTATGTTCCAGTCTTACCTCTGAATACTAGGCCCTGGATATTGGTTCTGTTCCTACAACAACAAAACCAATCCATCTCCCAGTGGCAGCCATTTTTGGAAGCATCTTCCTGGGATCTTCTTGATTTTGTCTTAATCTCAAGAGAGGTAGAGCTTCCGGTGAGGATTCATGGTGAACCAGACATCTCTGAAGGAGCTGGGACAGCAATTCAGTGGAGATTGGTGGCCAGACAGTGAATTCTGGCCAGTGAAGTCTCTCCGGAAAAAGGAGAGATCATGAGATCACCCACTTACATTCTAGACAGCTGCTCCTCATGAGTAGACCGCAGGAACTGAGGTTTTGTGTTTTGCTCATGAGATGAGTGGCTGGGAGCTGAGGGATTTCAGTCAAGCTCACTGCCATAATGCAGCCTATATGGACATAAGGTTCGCATGAGCCTCATTTCTTAACCACTTCTGGGTGTAACTAGTTGTAAATTAGTAAAGAGAGATTTTCTGAGTGGCAGGATAAAAATTCCACTTGCTGAATTATTATTCTTTCTGGATTACAAAGGAATAAAGAAAAAAAGGTTTTAAAAACTTAAGAACTTTTGGCAAAAAGCTTAACAAGGAGTCAATGTAAGAAAATTTAAAACGGATAAAGGGGATAGTTATTTTGAAAGATTAGTTTTTGGTGAAAGTGCTCTTGAATACATTGGAAGTAAATTAGACAAACGAACCGAACTTTTGTGGGAATGTTTTTGGTTTACTATTAAAGAGTGTAGACAATTGGTGGATTCTACAGAACAAAAGGTAAAGGTAATATGAGCCAGACTGTAACTATGGAGATGTTGACTGTGATGCTGACTATAAGTACGGAGTGCCACTTGAAACAAAAGTATTAAGGGCAAAGGAAAACAAAATAGAAAAAAAGTGGGGAGGGGAAGCTTGACTTTTCTTTTTCCCTTGTTTGAGCCACTTTCATTTTTGGATTATAATATCATAATGGCAACCACCAGAAAAGTGGCAAAAATGGAGGGGAGGGGAGGATTGCTAGAACGACCTGCAGAGAGAATAATTACAACAGATTTGCTTCAGAAAATGTTTGAGCAACTGGGCAGCAAGTTAGCTGAATCACTTGATACTAAATTGACAACTTTTGAAAAAAGAATGGATGAAAGACTTGTAAAGATGAAAGAGGAGATGAAAGAAGAAGTGAAGATGGAAAGCTCTGTAAAACAAGTGTCTGGAGTTGTAAAACAAGCTAATGACAAAGTGGAAATTTTGGAGAGTAAGACAGAAGTTATAGACAGAGAGTTGGAAAGAGAGTTAGATAAGCTGGCTCTGTTGGAATTGAGAGAGAAGGGATTTTGTTTCAGATTTAGAGCAATCCCAGAGGATTCTGGTGAAGATATTAAAGAAAAGATTATTTTAACAATTTTTTTGGATTGGGATGAGGATACAGAGGCAGAAGTTGATAAATTTCTGTGGAACATCTTGCTCCCTGAGGTGAGATTGGCCCCCTACTCTTCTGGCCTTCTGGAAGAGTGTTAAGACATGGCTTTGCCAACTAGCTTGGGGATCCAATGGGGGTTTGCAGCACTGGAGGTGGCTGGTGGCTTGAGGACGATCTTTTTGTCTTTTAACTTTGTATATTTTTGTAAAATTTTTATTGTTTTTTATTGTTTTTGTGATAAATTTATTTATCTCTCTGCAGAGGGAGAGAGAGAGCATGCATTCTATTCTATTCTATTCATTCCATTCCATTCCATTCCATTCCATTTAAGCCTGTTCATTTATCTGCATGCAACATTTAGGCATCTCTAACAGGTGAATACCTAAATACAAAACTAGTCTTAAAAGCTGAGCAGGCTAGGTAGTTAAGGCATTGTACCCAGGATAAGATATTGTGCTTGGACAACACTTGAATGCAAGGGAATTGTGTGACTTTACAAGCATGCTAACTCTCCCTCATGTCGCTTGATTGATTATGTGCTATCAAATCATTTTTGATTCCTAGCGACCACATAGATAGATATTCTCCATGACCCTCAGCTATTCCAAATCAAATGTTTTAGCTGTAGATCTGTTCCACATTTGTGAGTGAGGCAAACACCTCACCCTTACCCAACCGCTGTGTAAATAAACATACAGCATAGCTTTAGACTTCCATGCCCAGGACAGCAAGACAGGGAAAACTGTATAACCAATATCAAGGCTATCAACTGGACAAATGTGAGCACCCAGAGCATAGTTATGCTCCTGGAAACTGACACTGAACTGAGTGGATCTCTGTTCAATCAAGTGCACAGCACAGGAGCCTTCATAAAGATATCCATGTCCTTGGGATATCATCATCTTGCCATGCTGTGCCCTAAAATGCAGAGCAGTGGGAGCATAAGAGTCATAGGATGAAAAAGAGAGAGCAAATGCTAGCATGAATTAAACAAAGGAAACTGGATCTATTATAAGTTCTGCTGTTTTGTGCAGTTTGTATTCCCACTTAGGAACAAACACAGCCCTTGGGAATTGGCTAGGAGTGTGTCTGGCTATTGCTCAGATTGTCCAGCACTTTTGAAGGCCAAAAATCCATGACCTGTTGACAGTGGTATCAGGAAGGCACCTGGGCTCTGCATGTAAATAAGAACTGTTTATTTAAGCAACTAGTTATGCAATTCATAAGGGATATTTTTTCAAATTGAATTAAATATTTACATCTCATTATGGAAACATCCCACAGTCAAATATAAGTGACACCTGGTTTTAAAATAAGACAGCATCTTTTTATATTCATAAGAGAAATGTAATTTACATTGCCCGAATACCTTTACAGAACGATTTTTATAATTTAATGCCTTTGAAATTTCCTTTCACAAATTTTGGCCAGAGTTTGCATTCTTTAAACAAATTATATCCTTCTGTTGCTCAGAAAATACTTAGTCTCCCCCCTCCCCTTTCATCTTCTTCATCTGGATCCTTTTTAAATTAGAGCTAGATATGGGCTGTGCATCAAGATCTCCTATAAAGGGCCACCATGTGTTGGAGTTTTCAGTATCTCTTTGTTGTCATCTACTGGTTGCCCAGATTTTTGCAAACCAGATCAGGCAGCCTTATTTAACATGCAAAACAAATAAGACTGTAACAGTTCTTTGCCCTTTAATTTGTAAATGGTATTAGGCATGCTTATACTAAGAAACAAAGCCACTTTAAGTATACCATGGTCATTACCATGGCTTCCCCAGAGTGAGTCTTGGGAATTGAAGCTTGGAGACTATACTAAGCCTCAGTGACATATCCACAGCTCCTGATTTTTTTTATTTTTTTTTTAATTCTGCCTTTGAGTCAGTGTTGACTCCTGGTGACTGCCTGGACAGGTCCCTGCAGTTTTCTTGGCAAGGCTTTTTGGAAGTGGTTTGCCATTGCCTGCTTCCTAGGGCTGAGAGAGAGGGACTGGCCCAAAGTCACCAGCTGGCTTTGTGCCTAAGGCGGGACAAGAACTCAGTGTCCCAGTTTCTAGCCCGATACCTTAACCACTACACCACACTGGCTCTCACAGCTCCCAGTATAGTAATGTAATTCTGAGTGTCCTTGAGAAGGAGGGATGGCTGTTAAACTACTTTAATTATACACCATGAATCAGAAATTGGTACCACTGAGTTCAACTGGGGTTACACAGATGACTATTCAGCTTAGTATGCATGTCATATACGTGAGTGTGTTTCGTTGTGATGAACTTAGAAAAATCACAGCTGTCTCAATTGATGAAGAAGACATTTCTCACAGAAAGAATGTACCTATTCAGCCTTAGTCTTTATTAGGTGACATTTATAATCTTACAAACACACTTTTATCAGATGAAAGATTATTGTTCTCTCACCACTTACATAACTATATATTTTCCTATTTTTCTTTCTTTCTTAGTAACTCGTAATTTGTGTATGGCTCAATCTCCCCAGGTAACAAGTCCTAAGCAATAAGGTTCCCTATTGAAACAAATATTGCAACTGCGAATGCAATTCAATGCCTAAATCAATACTGACTTGAGATTTTTATCGACTACAAAAGTGTTGATAATGTTTATTTTGCAAATCATTTGTTTGCAAGCCTGTTTCACAGAGCTTTTGTTCTCTGGTATTTCATCACAGAATCTGGAAAAAAAAAATCTGTTTAGCTTTATGCTTCTTGCCTCTTCCAGTGTCATGTCATTCAATGTTTATATTGGCCAGGATCCGAGGAGCTGATTCACATTGTAACTTGTTTTTACTTTTTGTTTGTTTAAACAGCTGACTCCCATATCCCAACCTGTTGTTGAAACCCCCTTTTAGTTCCAAAAGCAGTTAGCTATGTGGCATGGAAGATTGGCATGTGAGAGAAATCACATTAAACCCTATCTGGGCTCCTTGAGCAAGTTTCAAGGATTTGGGCTCCTAAGCCACCAGTTCCCACAAGTATCCACTGGAAGGCTCAATTTCCTTCAAAATGAAAATGCAAGAATCATTCATAAACACGCATATATTGAAGACTGAGAGGCAACTTTTTAAAACTGTATTTTCTAGACCCTATTGAGAAAATAAAGATGTAGGAACAGAAAAGTCTGCAACTGATTTTGTGACAGTCATATTCAGGTCACAATACATCTCTAGATCCAAAACAATTTACTCCCATAATACATAAGAGTAACATTTAATGGTCCCCAAGGCCAAGCTAAATATGAATGTCTTTGATTCTAATGTATATATAAAACAAATGTAAATAATATTTGCTGGATGTGTGCACAGACACAGACATGTATTTCCTCTTTTGCTATTATCCTGTGAATACTCCTTCTCTAAAGCTAGTATTTATATTGATAGGAAATCCACTTTTGGTGCCAATAAGTAACTCCAGTGGAGAGATTTTCATCAGGTCCACAGCAAAGAGAAAAATAATCTTCACTCCTATTCCCCAGTAGCTACAATCTCATCTACTATTACCCATCTACACACACACCAGTTGCTATGTGTTTTTGTTTTTGCTTTGATTTTTAAAGTGTGCACAATACTGTATCACATTCAGGATGGATGCTTTTGTTCCCAGGCATATCTTTGGAGCCAAAAGAAACAAGTCTAAAATGGTGATGGAGAAAGAACTGCAGCTCTCAGGCCTCCTTCAAGGATGAGTAATTCTGCTGTATCTGCCTTGAATAATTGATGAACAAATTATATCAAATCCAGAGAGGAAGCAGAGGAACATGCCAACCCAAGTGCAAGGCAATACAGTCACAATGCAGATTTGTACAATGGACAATCTCCTCTGGGGATTTTAGCTTCATGGGAGCCATTTGGTTTTGTGCTTAAGAGAACTGTTCTGATGCACACAAGCTGTTTTCTTACAGCAGCCCAGCATGCCCTGGAACATTCATTGGGCACTAGAAAGTGACATGGAATAGGTGCCCCCCAATCTGCAAGACAGACTGTGGAACATATGATGCAGAGTCATTCCCCAATATTAGCATCAATCAATTTCTGCACTTTCATTACTGCATACCACAACTAAATACAGTAATGTTTTCAGCTTGGGGAGCATTGGCATCTTGAAAATATAAGGTGGACATCCTCACATAATGACAGCAGTGGGAGACTTGCCAATGCATAAAACAGAAGCCGGGGTGGGCATGGCCAATCACAAAACACCCATTTGCCAGAAGTAAACAAGCCTCCCAGAATGGGAGGACCCAGTGGGAACTTTATGGGCCCCAAGGCATTCTTACAAGTAATTATGAAGCTAGAACATGTGGCTTGGCTTTGCTGCTACTTATTTATTCTATCTATCTATCTATCTATCTATCTATCTATCTATCTATCTATCTATCTATCTATCTATCTATCTATCTGGTTAGCTCTGGTCACTGAATGTCTAGGACACGCTAGTGTTCATGGCCACCACGCTGCCTATCCATGCCACACATGTAAATAAATGTAGCTCTAAACACTTGGGTTTTTTTTTTTTTTTGCCCACCAGTGAGTTTCATGCACCAATTGATTTTGCCACAGTAGGCAAAAACTTCAGACATGAGATATTAACACCAGTGGCAAGTGAGAAAGAAACTAGAGTCCAAATCTATACATGAGTCATCAGAGATGAGGGATTACTCTGAAATGATTCATCAGTTGTGAACAAAGGCATAGCCAAAAGCAACTTGTTAGGACTCCTATGTCACAGATGAGGAATATGGCCATGAAAATAAACAGTTGAGATGAAGCAGTTATGGCTGAAGTCCCCCTTCCCCACTTGCTCCCATTAAAGTCAGACACACTTGGAGATCTACTGAAACCTCTCTGACTCCCCCAGAAGACCCTCCTTACATTCTACCTGCTTCGGCACTCCTCTTCTTTTCTTTTCAACAACTTCTTTCAACTTCAAGGCAGACTTGCTGTTGAGCAACTTCATGAATTGTGGTTGAGCATGGATTCGGGTGCTGGTCTCTTCAGGGCCACAACCTGGTGCCCAGACTGCACCATCCGTGGCTCTGCTGACTCAGGGTATGGACCTTGCCGTCCACCTGCCTGGAGGGTACCTGGCTGAAGCAGGCTGCAAACTGACAGCTTTGATTGATTGATTGATTTTATATATCTGCCCATCTCATGCATGTGACATTGGACAGTGTATACATTTAAAGTGCAAACCTGAATGCTGGTGTGGTTCAGGTTTTGGATGAGGATCTGACAGACCCAATTTCAAATCCACCCTTAGTCATGGAAGCCCGTTGGTGACTTTGGCTGGTCATTTCCTCAGCCCAGCCTACCTCTCAGGGTTGTTGTGCAGCAAAATAGGGGAGGAAGGAGTGTTCTGTATGCCTCCTTGGGCCAAAGGCAGATGATGGTGGTGGTGGTGGTGATGATGATGATAATAATAATAATAATAATAATAATAATAGAAGAAGAAGCTAAAGTACTCTGGGACTTTAGACTTCAGACAGACAAGCATCTGCCACACAACACCCCAGACTGATAAGAAAGACAAAAAAGTCTGGATAGTGGACATTGCAATGCCTGGAAACAGCAGAACAGAAAAGAAAGAACTGGAGAAAATCACAAAATACAAAGACCTACAAATAGAAATAAAACGACAGTGGCAAAGAAAGCAAAGGTAGTACCAATAGTTATAGGCGTTTTAGGTACAATCCCAAAACATCTGGAGCACCACGTGAAGACCATCGCCAGTGACAAAATCACCATCAGTCAGTTGCAAAAGGCTGCTTTACTTGGAACAGCTTCCATCCTGCGACGATACCTTTAGTATTATTAAGCAACGTCTGCCTATCCCAGGTCCTTGGGAAGGACTCGATAAGTGAATAAAAATGCCAAATCCAGTCTAAACACCCGGCTGACTGCGACCAACCATAATACATCTATATGCTATATGACTTGGGCAGTTAGTCAAACGAATGAGCAAAGCAGGGCCTCGTTTATTTCACAGGATGGTCAGGAGGATGAAATGGGCATAATCCCCTTCCCATCCAAGCAATTTGGCTGAAGGGAAAGAGGAGCGGTTGTTTTTTTATTCCATTTTTATACTGACGTGCACAACAACCCCGTGAAGTAGGTCGGGCTGAAAGGAAAAAGCGTGGCGGAGCGCCGGACCGGGATTCGGCCCGAACGTCCGTCCCCACAAGAAGGAACCGCATCGCGCACACCCGTGTAGGGAACGCGTTACGTGTGAACCGCCCCGAGACTCTCAGCGGCGCAGGCACGGAGGCTATGGAGAACCGCCGCTCCCGCCCTTTAAGGCGCCCTCTCGTCCTCGCCCCCTTCTTACCCGCAAGTGCAAATCTGGCACAAGCACCGCGGCTGCTTCATCTTTCCCGTCTCCTGCAGCCGCCTTCACCACCTCCTGCGCTCGGTAACTAGGGAAGCGCCCCGTCGCTTAGCAACCTGCTCGGCGTTGTCTCCCCCCCATCCCGGCCTCCGTACTCGCGCGACCCACGGGGGGCGGAGTCCGGGCTCGAGCCGCTCCGCCCATCTACTCCAAGTCGCGCGGAGCGGCGGTCCAGGCGGACTTCCGGTTGGAGCCTGTGGAGGCGGATATTGGGCGCCGCGGAGGTCAGTCCGGCCGTTTCCAATGGGTCGGTTGGGGTGGGCGGCGGAACGTAGCTTCCTTCTGGGGAGGGCGAGCCGGTTTGGACGCCTGGCTCCCAAGCCGCCGCCGAGTTCACCCCTTGCCTCACTCGGGAAAGCTCCGGTAGTCCCCACCCGCCGCCTAACTTCCTTGGCGGGGTTGTTGCGGGGGTGAAATGAGGTCAGGGGCCACCTTGGAGCCCCTCTGAGAAAAAGCGGGGCCATAATAACCATTTTGGTAGAGGGTGTTTCTCTGCATGGTGGTTCCAAGGTAGCCCTCGTGGCCTCCCAGAATTAAACGTGTTTTATTATTTATTTAATTTATTAGCTGCCCAACTCCAGCGGACTCCAAATAGTCTGATCCCACAACTTTGCATGAAGTTACTTAAAGTTTACTTTACTCCAGAGTAATTCTGAGGATTGGTCGTAGTGGATGGGCCTGATGGAAATTGTGTTCCAGAGCATCGGGAAGAATGCTCTGCTCTCTCTCCCCTCACCCTTTTAAGGGGTCCTTTATCCTTCAGTGTTTTTAATAAATATATTCTGTAACCTCATGGGACATGGCAACCCATTTTTTTCTCTTTCACATTACCCCAAAGATGGAATTACTAAGATCTGTGTAAGGTGAGGCTTTTAATAAAAGAATCACGATTATAGGGTAGTAATTAATTGGCTTGGCTTTGAAAATGAGGTATGCCTTTCATATTAGAGGAATATATTTTGCTTTCTGCGGTGGTTTTGTGTTCTTTGGAAGACCTGAGCTCATCTCTCTAACACCTGTTTGAGAGTTCCCTTAAGATGCTGTTGTGGCTGAAAAGAATCAGAATAAGGAGATTCCAGAAGCAGCTTTTGAGTAAAGGAAAGGTTCAAATGGTAGAAAGCCTTTACTATGATGCAATTTTAAATAGATAAGTATGGAAAACATGAAATATGAGTGTTAATGGTTGTAGTATTCAGTATTCAAGTTTTTTTTTATAAAAGATGAATACACATTGTTGATGAGTATAATTTTGGCGTGATTGTGCTTCAAGGCAAAACCAGATTCATTTAAGTGTAACATAGCATATACATTCCTTACCTATTCAGAAAACTAAGAACTAGCTCATCTTGATATTTAAATTCATCTTCTGCGTTTTTTTTTTTAAGTTTGCATCCTGCTGTTTTCAGAATGAAATGCTTTTTCTTACAGCAGAACTTCGAACCATGGTTCTTGCTAGCACAAATAAAACAATTGGACTTCAACAAAACACTGCCTGCATCAGGAATATTTGTATACTGGCTCATGTAGACCATGGTAAGAGAGATGGCCTCCACTCTAAAGAAATCTCTTCATGAATTATGGGTATATTCAAGTGCACATTTGTTTTTCTTGTATATATTGCTGGTCTTAAACGGACTTTTAAAGTGTGTCTCTGGAGAACAACAAGTACAGAATGCTGTCTCAGAGGAAGCCTGGTATAAAAAAAACAAATTGCCGTATAGATGAAGTTTTTGTGGGGGTTTTGTTTTGTTTTGTCCTCTTTGCTACGTATTTTCAAACAGAGGCTGGAGATAGCACAGACTTCTCTTTTGGGGGATGCTTTAATTTGAATTCATACATTGAGCAGGGTATTGGATTTTCTGGGCTGAAAAAAAACCCTCCTTTCAACTCTATGAATTGTGAAAAAATATTTTTCTGAGTTGTCTGCAAAAAAATGTTTAGAATGCTCACAACCATTGGTAGTCATGTTCAATAGAAACTGAATATGTTTTGCAGGGCGCAGCTCCATTAGCTGGCATTTTGACTAGTGCTGGATGAGGGAAGTTGCATATTAAGACAGGAATAAATAGGAGACCCAGTTTGGTATAGTAGCTAAGTTGCTAGAGTAGAAACCAGGAGACAGTGAGTTCTAGTCCTCCCTTAGGCATGAAAGCCGGCTGGGTGACTTTGGGCCAGCCGTTCTCTCTTAGCCCAAGCCACTTCACAGGGTTGTTGTGGGGAGAATAGTAGGCAGGGGCATTAAGTATGTATGCTGCCTTGATCTGACCAAAAATAAAGGTGGGATAAAAATCAAAGAAATACAATATCATTACATTGCTTTAACTTTCTTCCTTATATATTTTGGATTTATTTGTGTATTTCTTTTTCTTTATTTCTCTTTCTAGGCAAAACAACTTTAGCTGATTGTCTCATTTCTAGCAATGGAATAATATCCAAAAGATTGGCAGGAAAGGTACTTTTATACATTTCTAATCTTTTATTTTGAATGAATATTTTCTCATGAAAACCTATAAAATGTGATGAGGAAACACATTGTTATTTTCATTCATACAGCTGAGGTATTTGGATAGCCGAGCAGATGAGCAGGTTCGAGGTATCACGATGAAATCAAGTGCAATTTCATTGCTCTTTGCAAAAGGTAAAGTAGTTAAGCCCATTCTCCATGTGTAAAATGTTGCATGATCATGAAATAATCTCACTGAAATCAGGGTTTAATTGGTAATTGTTTCCTACTATGATACATATTATATGGCCTGTTCAAATGAAATAATGATCTGTTGTTATTGTTTAAAACCATGGATCAGTTGTTAAAAGGATGAGCAGTGAAGAATAAAGGTCAGGGTGAAAGTTTGAAGTTGCATAGTTACTGAAACTTGAAAATACAGTTTGCACAAACACAGAGAATATATATTTAATTCAAACCACTATCAAACTATAGTTGAGTACCCAGCAGTAACAGGAAACTGGAAACAGAAAGTTCAAACTTTCTACTGTACTATCTAGTAGAAGAGAAATACATGAATTGTCGAAGGCTTTCACGG